TGGCCCCCAGCAGTTTAGTCTCCCAGTCCCTAGCTCCTGCTAGAAGTGTGCCTCTTCACCCTGCAGCCATCGCCTGCCCGGTGCTCAGCGCGCCAGACTGGGGAGAGCTGAACTGCTCCCACGTCCATGGGGAGTTTGCCTTTGGGTCCACGTGTGCCTTCTCCTGCCAGATGGGGTTTGCGCTGATGGGGCCAGAGAGCCGCGAGTGCACAGCCACGGGGACCTGGACTGGGGACTCCCCACGCTGTGAAGGTAGAGTTGCTGCTCAAGGTGTAACAGGCCTTGCGATGACCCTGGGATGTTCTTGGGTGTCTTGATCCTCTCATCCTAACAGTTTAGCTTCATAGTCCCAAGGCTCCTGCTTGAAATGTGCCTCTTTACCTTGCAGCCATCACCTGCCCGGTGCTCAAGGCTCCAGACCAAGGAAAGCTGAACTGCTCCCACATCCATGGGGACTTTGCCTTTGGTTCCATATGTGACTTCTTGTGCCAGACGGGGCACACACTGATGGGGCCAGAGCGCCGCGAATGCACAGTCACAGGGACCTGGACTGGGGACACCCCACAATGCAAAGGTAGAGTTGCTGCTCAAGGTATCACAGGCCTTGGGTTGACCCTAGGATGTCCTCTGGCGTCTTGGTCCTCTTGTGCCATCAGTTCAGCCTTGTAGTCCCCAGGCTCCTGCTTGAAACGTATCTCTATCCCTGCAGCTATCGCCTGCCCAGTGCTCAGCGCTCCAGACTGGGGAGAGCTAAACTGCTCCCACGTCAACGGGGACTTCGCCTTTGGGTCCATGTGTGCCTTCTCCTGCCAGAAGGGGTTTGCACTGATGGGGTCAGAGAGCCGCGAGTGCACGGCCACAGGGACTTGGAGTGGGGATGCCCCACGCTGTGAAGGTAGAGCTGCTGCTAGAGCTCAGGGTGCCATTGGCCTTGGGGTGACACTAGGACGTTCCCCTGCTTCTTGGTCCCATCAGTTTAGCCTTGTAGTCCCCAGGCTCCTGCTTGAAACGTATCTCTATCCCTGCAGCTATCGCCTGCCCGGTGCTCAGCGCTCCAGACTGGGGAGAGCTGAACTGCTCCCACCTCCACAGCGACTTTGCCTTTGGCTCCACATGTGCATTTTCCTGCCAGACAGGATTTGCACTGATAGGGTCAGAGAGCCGCAAGTGCATGGCCACAGGGACCTGGACTGGGGACTCCCCACGCTGTGAAGGTAGAGCTGCTGCTAGAGCTCAGGGTGCCATTGGCCTTGGGGTGACACTAGGATGTTCCCCAGCCTCATAGTCTCAACAGTGTAGTCTCCCAGGCTCCTTTTTTCAAGCATGCCTCTTTACCCTTGCAGCCATCAAATGCTCAGCACTGCCCCCCCCCAGGATGGGCCAGGCTGCCTGCTCCCACGTCCATGGGGACTTTGCCTTCGGCTCCACGTGTGCCTTCTCCTGCCACACAGGGTTTGCACTGCTGGGGCCAGAGAGCCGTGAGTGCACGGCCACTGGGACCTGGACTGGGGACACACCACAATGCAAAGGTAGATCTTATGACCACACGCGTGTCTGGAAGTGCTCTGTTGTACCAGACTGCTTTCCCCAGCACCCCCTTCCCCTTATCACCCCCAGTCCATGGCAGCTCATCCCCTGGCTCCCCAGCCCACATGTCTCCATCCCACCACCACCGGTCCTGTCCTATTGATGCTACCACTGTGCTTTATCTCCAGCCATCAGCTGCCCGGTGCTGGACCCCCCCAGCAAAGGCCAGCTGAGTTGCTCTCACGTGCATGGGAACTTCACATACAACTCCACATGCACCTTTTCCTGCAAGGAAGGGTTTGTTCGGATGGGAGCAGAGGTGCTCCAGTGTACGGCCACGGGGAACTGGACCAGGCATCCCCCTGTCTGTGCAGGTACAGTGGGACCCCCACTCCTCTAGCACTCGGGGGGGTCCAGCTTCCTGCAACACCTCTTGAACGTGGTGGGGGCACCCCCCCAGCTTGGGTGCTGTGAAGTTGTTCTGACAACTTTCTAACCTGTGGGTCTGCGGATCTGTTTCAGAGGACGGTGCCCCCTTCTTAAAGCAAGTCCTGGGTTACACCAGCGGCACAGCTCTGGTACTAGCTGGCATCGTGCTCTCAGGGACGCTCATTGCCTTCCTTGCCAAGCGGCTCAGCAACAGAGGTACAGAAACGCCTCCCGCAGCCCCCCGTCACTTTGGCCAGGGGCTCTTGGGCAAGGTGGCTACAGAGTCCCAGGGGAGGGTGGGATGATCAGAAGAGTTTAACAGTGTGATTGCCTTGATCCACGTGTCTTACTTGCTGCGAATTGTTTGGGTCCTTGGCAGTTTGTCCAGCTGAAAGTGTCAGCAGCCAAGTTTGGAGGGCAGAGCCAGAAAAACACCTTCATGGTGAAGGGGAAGAAGGCGGCAAATGCTTCAGCCCCGCCTCCTGGCTCCATCCCGTGCTTGTCAAACTCAGTTCAATTTCAGATGCTGCTGCTGCTGCAGCTTCTCACATCCTTCACTAAACAGATCTGGTTATTTCTTTTCTATCTATCTCCTTTATCCCTGTGGACGTTTTGACACCATTATCAGAGGAAAAGAAGAAGCTCCTGAATCCCACCAGGTGAGAGCCGTGCTTTGCAGGAGGGTGGCTCTGCCCTGTGCCCATCACAGCCCTGCAGTCACCCCGCTGTCACCCAAATCTGCCCGTGTGAGGCTGCTTTTATACGCAGTGGGAGCATCTTCAGGGCCGGCGGGGCTGTGCTAACCCATGCCCTTCACACTCCTGCCCTCTCCCCCAAGCTGACACCCTTGTGTCTGTTTTCCAGTGACCTAGGATCACCGGGCATCTTCACCAACGCAGCGTACGACGCCAACCTGTAAGGTGAGCACCGGCGAGACGCTCGCGGCCCCCTGCGCTCTCGCAGCCGTGCTGGAAACATTCTTCTCTGCTGCTGCCGGGAGTCACGTGTGGAAAATTCACCTGGGCAGCCATCCTGCAGGCTGGGGTGCTCCCAGGTGGGGACACCCCTTGGGAGGGGAAGGGGGGGACCCGCTGCTTTCTGCGCTGCACCGAAGGGGGTGACACCAGCGCCGGCTCTCCTGTGCTTCCAGCCTGGCTGTGAGCGAGAC